TTCCATAGTTTTCTAAAATCGCATAATACCAAACCAATAAGTTAAAATGAACTGAAAATCACATGAAAACGTTTGCATAGATTAAAAGAAAGAGGCTGCATGATAAATGACTTCTTGCTTGCCGGAAAGAAATTTATACAAAAGCTTAAAAAACTTGTATTCAAAATGTACTCTATTATAAAATCTAAAATATTATCTAATTCCTCATGATGACCTACCCAAAATTCACAAACCCGATATTCCTCTTCGTTCCACTGTCCATACATATAACTGCTCTACATAACCATTGGCCAAGTACTTGACCAAAACTCTACAACCTCTCAATGCAAATGTATCATCCTTTGTCAAAAATTCTTTTCATTTTATCGAACTTTTTACACAATAACTTATATCGCGGTCACACATTCTAGTAAGTTTCGATATCGATTCACACTCTACAAACATTTCTATAGACGAAACTCTCAATATTCTGAAAACTAAATACAGTATCCATTCTGAAAAACTAAATACAGTATCCAAAAAGAAAAATAGTGCATGGGAACAAAAATGCCAATACCTAGACAACCAAATAGGAGACTATACTCCCAACTATAACCAAACTATAAAAACGATGAGAACAACGACAAAAAGCCAAGTCATAATTAATAGAATACCAGAAAATACATGCATAGGGCATTTTGAGAACTTATTAACAGAGAGAAGAGAAAGGTTTAAACAGACAAGTAAACAAGTGGAAGTAGAAGGAAGAATAGAAATGTCAATAGAACAAGTGAAAGAAGTAGTTAAGGTAATGAAATTAAGAAAATCTCCAGGCCCATGCGGAATACATCCAGAGTTGATTAGGTATGAATCATCAAAACTGTTTGAAATGATTCGAAAATTATTCGAAATATGCTTAAACGGAGAAGTTCCAGAAGAATGGAGACAATCGTATATCTCTCCAATATACAAGAAAGGCACAAAGACGGATCCTAAAAACTATAGTGTGATCGCAGTGATTGCTATTATAGGCCGACTATACTCAAAAGTACTACGAAACCTGATAGAAAATTATATTAAAGACAAAGAACCCGAAGAACAAGCGGGATTTAGGGCCCGACGCTCCACTATGGATAATATTTTCACATTAAAAATTGCAATGGAAAAACAAGTGCAGAGAAATAGAGAAACCCATACAGTTTTAATAGATTTGAAAAAAGCATATGACAGTGTACCGATCTCCCAACTATGGATAGAAATTGGTAACTTGAAAATAAACCCAATTCTTATTAACGCCGCTCAAAAATACTACGAACAAAACTTTACAAGAATTAAAATGGGACAAGAAATCACCTCTCCTTTTCAAACAACAGAAGGACTAAGACATGGCTGCTGTCTGTCACCTACCTTATTTAAAATCTATTTGGACAGATCCTTAGTGAAATGGGTAAAAAAATGTAGAAGCATTGGAATAACGGTGGAAAAAAACACGCTATGTACAATTTTCTTTGCGAAAATGACAAAATCAAAGGCGTGCAATCCTGCAAATATTTGAAAGTCATTTTCAACAAGAAGAGAAATAGCGAAGATGAAATCAGGGAAAGAATAAACAAGGGCAGAGCAGCCACGCGTGCCTTAAACTCTCCTCTCTGGCAAAAAACAACTCGACGAGAAACCAAAAAACACGGTAGTATCGTCCAAAGTATTACACTTTACGGTTCGGAAGTATGGGACGTCACGAAAGCTAATAGAAACAAACTTATGACGACAGAAATGGATTATCCAAGACGAAGCTGTGGTAGATCGAAACTGGAGAGAGATAGAAACGAACAAGTAAGAAACGAAATGAAAATGGAGCTTGGATATAGGCCTCCTCCTCCTTCTTCCATGCCTCTCTATCTTGGGCAATTTGCATCCATTTTGACCCGGCGTGTTTCTTCAGGTCATCTGACCATCGCATTTGTGGCCTTCCCCTTTTTCGTTTGTGATTCCATGGTCTCCAATGTATAATTGTCTTAGTCCATCTTTCATCTTTCTGCCTTGGGGTGTGTCCGGCGAACTTCCATTTAAGCTTTGCTACTTGGGTTGAGACATCTGTCACTTTTGTTTTATTACGGATCCATTCGTTTCTTTTTCTGTCTGATAGTTTAATGTTCAGCTTTGCGAGGACAGGGAGTATACATTGATTGAAGACTCGTTTTTAGGTATTGGGGGTATTTTGAATTCTTTAAAATATAAGACAGTTTTCCGAATGATGCCCAGACCAATCTTATTCTTCTCTTTATTTCTTCGGTTTGATTTTCTTTATTTAATTTAGTGATTTGGCCCAGATATATATACTCTTTTACTTGTTCTATTCTTGTTTGTGCCACTGTAATTATTAGTTCTTCTGGTTGATTAATCATGGTTTTTGTTTTACTATAATTCATCTTGAGTCCAATTTTTGTCGATTCTCTATCTAGTTCTTCCATCATTCTTTGTAAGTCTTCACTTTTTTCTGTTAATAATACAATATCATCAGCATATCGTAAATGATTCAGATTTTTCCCGTTTATGTTAATTCCCAAGCCATCCCAGTGTAGTCGTTTGAAAACATCTTCTAACGCTTGGTTGAATAGCTTGGGCGAGATGGTATCTCCTTGTCTTACTCCTCGCTTTATTTTAATGGGCTCCGTTTGTTTCATTAGCTTAATAGTTGTTGTTGCCTTGTTGTATATATTTGTAATTAAGTCTGTATATCGGTAGTCTATTCTGCTGTTTTGTAGGGAATTCTGTACTGCCCAGCGTTCCACACTATCAAATGCCTTCTCGAAGTCAATAAATGCCATGTATAGCGGGATATGATATTCGTTAGTTTTTAGATTAAAAGCTTCATCGTTAAAAGGTGGTCACTTGTACTGAAGCTCTTTCTAAATCCGGCTTGTTCTCTTGCCTGGTATCCATCTAATTTAGTTATTAATCTATTTGTTAATATTTTTGTTAATAGTTTGTACATCACATTTGGTAAAGTTATGAGTCTGTAATTCTTTAGATTCTTTTTATGTCCTTTCTTAAATAGTAACAGTGTTATTGATTCGTTCCAACCGTTCGGTATTTGTTTTGTCATTAGTATTTTATTCATAAGTATGTACAAAACTTCTCTAGTTGTTTTCCCACCATGTTTTAGCATTTCTACAGTCACCCCGTCTTTTCCTGGCGATTTATTATTCTTCATCTCTTTAAGTGCTCTTGTTATCTTTCTGCTGATCTCTCTACTGATTTCTGGTTGTAAGTCGGAATTAACATTTTTTGGGTTGGTTTTTGTTTTGTATTGTAGAGGTTTTTATAATATTCTTGTGTTATCTGTATGATTTATTCTATATTATTGGTCTTTGTACCTTCTTTGTTCTTTATACCATTAATTTGTATGGTTCCGAGCTGTGGTTTTAAGCACTTCATGTTTTTATTTTGTTCAATTGCTTTTTCTATTTTTTCATCCTGTACGCTCCTTTTATATTTCTTGATATTCCTTCTGATAAATTTGTTTACTTCTTTGTAATCTACTGTGTTTCTCTTATATTGTTCCAGTAATGTTTTTCTTTTACTCATAAGATTTTTTGTTTGCTGGGATACATAGTTTTCCTTTTTTATTCTTGTTTGTGCTACCTCTTTTCCCGCCTTTGCTAATGTATCGGTTAATAGCTGATTTATTTCATCGATATTTTTGTTTTCCAAATCTCTAGTGACCGGTATACTTTCCTTTATTTTTTTGTTTATATTCGTCTTTTGATTGCTTAAGTTTTTCCATATCTAGTTTCGATACATTTTCCATTTTCTTTTTTGTTTCGAATTGGCTATGAATCCTGCCTTCACTACTCCAGTAATTGCCAATATCTTATTGAGAGATTTCGAGACCCAAGCACTACCTGAATGGTATACATCCTAGTATCCAGTCCACGATGGAGGGGAAAACTGATTCATCCCTACCATTTCTTCACGTTATCATAAAAAATATTAATACCGCGGTTTTCATCACTTTGTTTATCAAAAACCCATCCACTTTACGATGATGCAAGTAGACCCGCTTATTTATTTGGCTTATTTATTTAGCGTATGGCTACATCACAGGTTCATATATATAAATACACATAATATAAATTACAAACAACAGTAAATACAAAAATATTATTCTACAAACAAACATCTAGATTATAAATATATTCGATTGACTCTTTTGTAGCAGCCAGGAAATCTGAAGGGTTGCCGTTATAGGATCTAAAGTAGACCCGCTGAGCTGTCTAGTTTAAAACAAACCCTCATCCAAAACGGTTACCGCGAATCTCACATCAATAGGAGCATCCACAGATATCAATCTCCCACCCAAAGCTTTTCTTCCTTATATCAAGGGTGTCACTGACAAACTCGACAAAATTATTAAATAAGGAGGAATAAAGCCAATATTTACACCTCAACAAAAACTTTCATATCTTGTCCGATCAATAAAAGACAATATTCCAAATGAACAACACGGAGTTTATTAAAATCCTATTGTAGATTGCCCCCAATGTTATATATGCCAAACAAACCGTAGAATTCAAAATAGAATTTATGAAAATATTCCATTTCTATTCGTAATTCCGATTCAATTTCTGCTCTAGGTCAACACAATCTTCATACAGGTGACAAAACTGATTTTGTGATCATAAATTTTGTGCAAATAAATGTAAAAATGTGGCAGTTACAGTCCGTCCCGATTGATTAGTTAAACCGATATTATAAACATTTATTACAATTTACAACAATTTTCTACTTAACCATACTTTAAACTAAAATTGAACAGATTAAACTAAAAATCCGGCAATAAAATCACCATTAAAGTCATTTACAACAGCTGTCGTTTGGGTATGTTTCTATTCAAATAAATACGCATAAACCTAATTATTTAATTGCCGGATAAAATTCTTAGCTATTATTTGTTCGGATTAATGTTTAGATACATAAAAAGTGTGAAAAAAATCTTAATGTTCTAATTTTTTTGTCAGAGTTTGAAGAAAACATAAACTTCAACAATGAACACTACAGCTTTGAGAGTTTTCATCTTGGCTGGAATATTTCTTGTAAGTATGGTTTTTATGGATTTTTAGCTGCTCAATTTTTTTTATTTTATTTAGTAATTTGTTCAGTCTGATTTTTATAATCGAATATAAGGCTTTAAGACATTTTGTCATCGTTTTATTTCTGTTACGTTTATTGTGATTTATTTACTTTTTTTTGGTAACTAACCACAATTCATGAAATTATTCAATATGGAAATTTCTTTTATATAACAATAACACTGAAAAGTTTCTTTTCAAAACTTCCAAAAAATGTTTTATAATATTTTATGCCAGCAGCTGTTTCGGCCGAGAAAGGCACAGAGACAGAAACTTGGCACTCTGCCGAAACAGGTGTAGTGATAAAATATAATAAATTTTGTGGAAATTTTTTAAAAGAAAGTTTTCAGTGTGAATGTTATTTGGAATAAGTTTATTTTGACTTTTCAAAATAATCTTTGGAAATCGTTCTCAACGTACAAATTATAAACATTGTATTTTTTTGTTACAAAGTAATACAAAAATTTTTCTATTAATTTAATTTTAGATTATTTATATTATAACAATAGATTTATATTATAACAATTAACCTCTTTTATATTAACAATATTAACAATGTATACATTTTAAATTAAAATTGTAACTTTTAACAATTGAAGACTACAGGGGAAAAACGATGTAAGTCAATTTTTTAACTTTTTGGAAAACGCGATTTCTAGATTCAAAACTTCATAATTCATAAATAAACATGCTAAAACACTATTGTATTGAGTATTTGACAACTAATATATACAGAGTATGATATTATAAAATTGAAATTGTCATGAACAGTAGGTAACGAGAGAAATTAAAAAAAAAAACAACCAAAGGTCTGGAGGAAAAAGGCAAAAATGCTGTAATTGACAAAATAATATGAATTCAACGAAAGAAAAAAATAAGTAGAACTAGACTTGTTTAACTTAACTAAAGCTAAAAATAACAATATTATCTGTTAAATGAATCAATAACATTGTAAAATTCTTAAGATAAAAAATAAGTCATGTTTTTTTAGCTGATCAAAATACATTCTTCCTTTTTCTGAACAAAATTTTTTTAAAACTTGGAGATTTTTGTATTTTGCCATTGGAATGGGAAGTGACTCAGTATAGGATCGAAAAGGAAAAACGAATTCTTTTCCAGTATATGGTGGTTCCCTACCAGTCACTTTTTTGTTAATGACAGCCCAAAACCATTGTTCCATTGTAGGTGTCTCTGAAATAAATTAGTCTGGGATGTTGCTTTGAAATGCTTAATTCTCTTATTGGTCTAGTTTTAAAAGGTACTTTTGTAACATACATAGGTGCAAGAAAAGTGTCCCATTCTACGCACCAAGTAGTTATCAACCACTTCTACTTTATAAGGCACAGGTTTTTGATGAGCCAATCGTAACACTGCTTCCCAATCTTCTGGGGCTTCTGCTGCACTTTTTTGATTAACGATACCAAAATCTTTATCCGTCTCCATGTAAGAGTGACCTCTTATAGGAAAGGTCCCATAAATAGAGTAAAATCTGTTTATTTTATGGACTAAATAATGTAGAAACCGGAATACCGTCCAATTTTTATTTTGACCTCCACACGAATCACAGAAAATCACTTAGTTACGAACTTCAGGAGGAAGCTGGATTGTCACATAGTTATACAGAAATGAGCAAACTTCATTGGCACCGTTTCGAGCTACTGTCTCAGGGTACGAGTACATAACAACATCATTATCACTAAATCGATGGACATTTAAGGAGTAGAAAGACAACTGCCTTTTATAATACACGTCGTTACTCGTAATATTAGGCATTGGAAGGTTTTTATTATAGTCCATGGCTATGACTTCATATTCTCTTGAAATCCTTGCTCGTAGTTTAGCTTTTGTTTTTCGTTTGTAAAATGTCTGTGCTTTCAGCAAGTGAAGTTTCTGCCCTGTTGTAAGTTTATTAATTAATTTTTCATCTTTACATTCCCTTATTTTTATTTTGGAAGCATCACAAATGCTGCAAGTGTCGGTTCTGGGATACCCAAAGGAGATATTAAAACGTGTGTTGAATGTTTTTCTATATACTTCATAGCACACTGCTCTATTGGGATGTTTCTCAAGGAACATTTTGTACATATTTTTAATGTTAAGTTCCTCTGGAAGGTACTTTCTTTTTTCTTTCTCATCTTTTCTTGGCCTTCTTCGAGTTACAGGAAGTATGGATATTAGACCACCCAAATACATACTTTGCTCGTCCCAATTCAGCATAGAATTAAAATTACGAATAATTGTATTTCTTTGTCCAACCGTTATATTTACAAAACACTGATAACGTTTGCAACGGCAGTCACCGCCTGTTTCGTGAGTTTGCACTTTTAGCGCTTTAGCTACATCACGTATTCGCCCAAAACTTTTTCGTTTTCTTGTAGTTTTTGACTGTAAAGCCTCTTCAATTTCGCTGTCCTCACTTTCCATATTAATAAACAATAGTTCAAACTTACCAAACGTTAAAAAACAAACTGTGATTATGATAATATTGATACTTAAATAAACAGCTTGTATGAATGCTGAACTGGACTGACACTGACACTGACTGTGATTTTCCGTTGTAAATTGTCCCTACGGACAGGGGCATTGAGCACCTAAATCTGACTTATAGCATCGTTGCCTAGTTTAACCTTGACTTGCAGCGCTCTTCCATTGTACAGCATTATTTTATTCGTTTGTAACGTTTGACCTATTGCACTTTTATTTTGTTTGATATTTGTGGATTGTACTACGTGTATCCAAGTATCGAAAAATGTATTCCTCAAGAAATCGATAAAAATTGACTTACAGCGTTTTCCCCCTGTAGTCTTCAATTGTAATTCTTAACTCAAAATATTGTAAAAAGTTCCTGGGGCCAGTATTCCCAACCCTGCAGAGTGAAATTCTCGTATCAGGGCCATAAAACTATAGTAAATTGGAAAAATTATATTAGATCGGGAAAACCGAATTTATCGCATTTAATAATGGTTAATGGTTATTATTTCTCTTTTTTTTTTATAAAACTATTGTAATAAAAGTTTAACATTAATAGATTATTGAAAATATAAGTAATGACTCGAAAAATTCGCATTTTAAATATCTTCTTTTCTTCTTCTTTTTTTATGAAGACATGACTCTGTCTATTTTTCAATGTGCCTCCAGCAAGTTGTTAAATGGTTTTTGTAGCTTCCTACTTATCTTATTCTTATTGGGGAACTGTCTCTTGTCGTCTTTTCTACTCTATTTGTTGTCAGTTGGCTTATATGATCATATTCTACTCTTCTCTTTTTTATCCACTGCTTGATGTTCTCCTCTTGGCATCTACGTCGTATCTGTACTTCTAGCTCTGTCCCATAGTGCTTTAACATCAATTTTTCTGTTTTCATTTTTGCTGTTTCTAACTGCTGTTTCTTTTGCATTTTTTTTGTCCTTGCTGTGTCTGGTCTTGTTTCTGAGGCGTGTAACATTATTGGTTTGATAATTGTTTTGTAAATTCTGCCTTTAATTTCTTTCGCGATATTTTTATTTCTCCATATTGTTTCATTCAGACAACCTGTGGCACTGTTTGTTCTATTCACATAATCTTCTACTTGTGTTTCGAGATTTTAGTAGCTAGATAATGTGATGCCAAAATATTTAAACTCCATCACTTGTTCTATTATCTGACGTTACTTACTTACTTACTACGTGGCGTTACAACCCTTCGTGGGTTTTAGCCGTTTCGACAACATGCCTCCACTGTTTTCTCTCTTGAGCAACCTCCATCCAATTCTACACGCCCATAGTAGCCCAAAGACATTAATACGTACCACAATATTTAATAAACCAAATTGAATGCAGTAATTGTATCTAATGTAATCTAATAATTTTTCGCTAATGGCCTTTTGGTCGATGCGATTTTATAAATAAAAAAAATCTTCTCTAATATTCCTTTTCTTTAAAAGTATTACATGTTTTCCATATTTGGTCCTTCGACTGTGAGTTTTGTTTGTGTTGGCACCGCTCTCTTGGGTGTAAAGTATTTCATGATAATTATTATTTTTTATAATACTAGGCAATGGTCACTACCTACATCTGCTGAGTTAAGGTATGTTATGCATTATGCATTATTATTATGCAATAAGTATAATTATTTTTGATGGATGTTTGTATCTGTAGAAGTCTATCATCAGTTCTTCATATTTGTTTTTAACACTCTCGTTAAGGTTTGCCTAATTCCAGGTGTTAATTGATCATCTGTTCGAGTGTTAAAATTCCCTAATATCACATTCCCTCTTAATCAGACTTGATCTACTACTTGTTGTAATTCGTTATAAAACGTTTTTCTTGTTATTTGAGGCTTGTTATTTTTTAGGCCGTATACTTCGATGATGTTCAGGTCTTCCTCACCTTTCTTATCATTGCTGTTACAATCGTTTCTCGTATATATCGACACCCTTTAATGTGATTTTAGTACCTTGTGATTCCCCGAATTGGATTTTTTGTTTTAGTTATAACCTAGTTACCTTAGTTTGCATATAAATCTTTGTAATTTGTATATTTGTAAAATCATTTGTCGACGCTCTAATCTCTAAGTTATTTTTGTTTATTAATTTTCAGGTTTTTGGAGTAATTAACGAAACCGAATCTCAGTGTACTCAACAAGGTTCTTATCTTTCAGAAAACGGCAACTGCTTGAGCTACTACACTTGTGTAGTGAATAATGGAGTGTGGATACGTAGTAACCATACGTGTCCAACTGGTAGACCTTTTAACAGCACCGTTGCCATGTGCGATTTCAATGCGACGTGTTCAACCTCTACAGAATCGACGACGACCCCAACGACACCAACTACAATAAATGCCGCTGCAGCTACTACTACAGCTACTTCAAACACAGCACAATGTCCACCATTGGGAATATATTCCTTAAATTCAGCAGATTGTAGATCATATTATCGTTGTAGTTATTTCAACGGGAATTACCTAATAAACAATTACACATGCCCTGTTGGCCGACCCTTTAACAGTGCTACCCAGTCATGCGATTCAACTATAACTTGTTAATAAGTTAATACTAAATCCTGAAGTTTTTAAAAAAATTTCTTTAATATTTGCAAACAGTTTTTGTTAAAAAGCAGTTTGTATATCAAAATTTTATAATAGTGCAATACCAGTAGCAATATTTATAATTTAATTTAAAATGTAAATTTAATTAAACTGATTACTCCTTTATTTGTTGTCGTTCGACTGCAAAAAATTTAGGCTTTCGTAATATTTTATTGTCGAATCCTAAAGATATCCTATACTGACCACGTTACTAACCAGAACATTTTATTAATAATGCAAAAAGGAAAAGAGTGACTAACCACAATAAAAACAGCCAAAATCGAATACCTCGGTCTCATCATGAGGAACAGTAAAAGATGTGGGTTGCTGCAATTAATTCTAAAAGGAAAAGTAAAATGAAAATTAGCACCAGAAAGGCGAAGGCTTTTCTGGCTTAAAATTCTACGTATGTGGTTTAACACTACAACCACAAACCTTTTCAGAGCTGGAGTTTGCAAGATACAGATTGCCATGATGGTTGCCAACATCCGAAATGGATTGGCACTACAAGAAGAAGTAGAAAATCAGAATATCCGAGCTGCTGATATTGAATTAGGAACCATGCCAAGATGTTAAAAACTATGATGATGATTGAAATTTGCTATTATAACCATACATTTTGTCTTTTTTTGGAGAAATTATTATGTTAAATTTTCTGAAGTTTATAGTAAATTGGTGTAGCATATTTTGTAAATTATCTTTATTTTGAGATAGTAGGAATGCGTCTTCTTCATAGCAGACTATTTAAAATTATTTTTCTCCCATTTGGTATCCTTTCGTAACAGAGGACTCAGGGAATCTTTCTGTCTTATCCCATTGCCAGCTTCAATAGGGTCAGTTAATTCTTCTTGTTTTTTTTACTTTTTTTTACTTTTGTGTTGTTTTGGTAGATATTTTTGAACGTTTTGATTATTCTTAGAGGTACTGCTCTTTCAGAGAGACTTTTAAGCGAATGCATCATATCATGTAAGTTATCTGCGTATAATACAACATTAATACAACATTAGATACAGAATTGAAATGGCACGGTCTACATTTATTAAGTTGAGATCCTTGCTGTGCTGCAGTGATCTCAGTTTGAGAACCAAGATGAGGATAGTGAGGTGCTACGTTTTTCCAGTGTTACTATATGGAGTTGAAGTTTTCGAGATGTGGATATACAGAAGGATACTAAAAATATCTTATGTGGACCATGTCACCAACGTTGAGTCCTACAGCGCATGACAAAAGAAAAAGAAGTGCTTAATTTAATTAAACAACTTAAGCTTGAGTACCTCGGCCAAGTGATGCGAAACGAAGAAAAATATCGAATTCTTCAACTCGTTATGCAGGGTAAAGTATTTGGCAGAAGAGGACCGGGACGCCGTCGTATCTCGTGGTTGAAAAATCTCCGACAATGGTTTGGTATGACCTCAGCGGAGCTGTTTAGCAGAGCAGTCAACAAAACCATGATAGCCTGATGGTCGCCAACATCCGGACCGGATAAGGCACTGAAGAAGAAGAATAATACAACATGATATGCCGTGATATGCAGGCTCTATTAGAAAGTACTGAATATTGGAGTTTTCTCCGCAATTTGTACATAAAAACAAATAAACAACGTGCATGTGAGTTAAATGGTAATCGTCGCAGTACCCTATGTATTATACAGAGATATTATAAATGAGAGAAGATGCGTAAATGATCATCAAATGAATTTGAGGCTTAGTGATAGAGAAGATAGCTCTTCTCTATCACTAAGCCACTGAAAAATCATTGAAAAATCCACTTTTTCAATGTGGCACTCACGCCGAATCAGAATTTTAACACACGTAGTAAAAATTTTACGTTAAAATTTTACTCTAGGATAAAAATTTAACGGAGTAAACTTTTATCGCTACACCGGCAATGTTAATTCACCAAAACGTTTTAACAATGATATTTAAATGTTTTATTAATCCCAGATCGATAAACGAAGTAAATTCCCATTCTCACCTCTCAGATCTCTCACTCGCTACAAACACTGTCACAAAATAATTATTTAAGGGTTTAAAATTATTTTTCTTTATGGCATAAAAATTCTCATTAAATCGATTTTTTCGGCTTTTACCCCTCTACGTATAGGCGTTTTAGGGGTATAGTTTTTACCTATGCGGTAAAAGTAGTAAACTTTTTTGCATCTTTTTTGCCCCAAAAGTGACAACCTTGGCAAAATTCAACTTTTTCGTATGATTTTTTAGGTCAAATCTCTGACCACTGCAATAATAGTATAAATTTTAATTTCAGTTTTGAATAAGTTTATGTTTGTTGGACTAAATATTGCGTTCATTTTGACCGAAAGTTTACAAATAGGCACCTAAAATTTAAATATAAAAAATTCAAAAATTTTATCACAAAATCGTTACATATACAGTAGAACCTGCTTAATTCGAAATCTTCTTTAATTCGAATTTTTATTCTGGTCCCTAGCATTTCCTATATAAGTAATGTTAAAAAGTCGTGGATAATTCGAATTATATTTTGGATAATTCCAACTTTTCTACAAATTAAAAATGCTAATTTCATGCTGGAAATTTCCGCTAAAAGAGGTAGTATTGTTTTCTGTTCTAAAGTGCTACAGGTGAACAGGAATCTCGTGAAACGGGCGGAGCTTCTAGTGCGCAGAGAGAGAAAGTATTCGGCCAGAAAAGAATGGAATTTACCCGAACATTACAATCATTGTACGGCTTGATAATCTCTCGGTAGATATTAAAAATGTTACAATGTTGTCAATATGTGGATGATCTCAGTAATATTGGGTATTTTTAGTTTGATATCTGAAAAAATGAGTTTCAAATAATTTACACAATTTAATGACTAAAAGAATAAGGGAATTATTTTTGGTGAGGTATGATATACACATATGTATCCCAAAAAATTGTATACAAATGAAGAAAAACGTATCTTACATTTTACAAAAAAAAAATATTCTTGATAAAAGGAAAAATCCCATTCCGAATCACTGTCTCTTAAAGTTATGACAAATTTTTCCATATTATTTTCCATTGTTGCTAGTAGAACCAAAAATTCTTCCTCACATTTTTTGCATGGCTGCATCGGCTTTGCCACTCAGTAGGAGGGAAAGTCGCAAAGAATTGTTCGCATAAGTCTTTTATATTATTGATATTAATTTTTGCTTAAACCATAAAAAAGTTAAGCCTGGATTACAATCAAGATATATACATATATCACAAGAAATCAGATTGATCATGTTCTAGTAGATGCCAGGAGGGGTAGTAACTGTCTAGACGTAAGAAGCCTAAGAGGAGCTGATGGAGACACGGATCATTTTCTTGTAAAAGCGAAGATAAGGACAAGAATTGCGTCCAAAAAAACACACAAGAATACACCAACACAATTATGGAATACCGAAGTTCTACGTAATACGAAGACAGAACAGAAATTTCAAAATGCTATAAAAATAGCTCTAGCACAGACAGAAGACTATAACAACATAGACTCAGCTTGGAAAAATATCAAAGTAGCTCTGACATGCGTATCAGATGAAATACTAGGACACAAAAAGAAAACAACAAAAAAATGGTTCGACGATGATTGCCTGAACTCCATATTAGCAAGAAATATGGCTAGAAGCAACATGCTACAAAACCCCTCGCACAACAACAATGAAATTTATAGACAAAGAAGAACAGAGACAAGAAAACTAATGAAAAGGAAGAAGAGAGAGTATCAGGAACAAATAATCAGGGATATAGAAAAAAAAAAAAGAACAAACAAGCGAGGCAGTTCTTTAAAGGAGTTTCAGATATCAAGACCGGATACCAAGCAAGAACAGGAAACTTTCTTCAAAACGACAGTGGACAGCTTATCACTGATGATAAGGAAATCTTAAAAACCTGGAAGGAATACTTCTATCAACTATTGAATGACCAATCTAGCAGAAGTACATCAAACATAGAGGTACATACAGCTGAAATAGAAAACCAATACCCGACATACGAAGAAGTAATACAGGCAATTAAAAAAACTCAAAAATAATAAGACACCAGGTAGCGATGGTATACCCGCAGAGTGCTTAAAACATGGAGGAGAAGCGTTGTACAGTTCGATATACAAGCTAATTCAAGACATTTGGCAAGAAGAAACAATGCCAGATGAATGGAAAGAACGGGTTATTGTACCAATACACAAAAAAGGAAACAAAAAGCAATGTATTAACTACAGGGGAATAACACTCCTAAACACCATCTACAAAATCCTTTCAAACATCCTACTAGAAAGAACCAAAACATACACAGAAGAAATCGTTGGAGATTATCAATGCGGATTTAGACCGGGCCGCTCTACAATTGACCAGATATTCACAATAAAACAGATAATGGAAAAATGCTGGGAGTTTGATCGTGAGCTTCATCAGATGTTCATAGATTTTAAACAAGCATTTGATAGAGTATGTAGGGACAGACTGTGGACAGCGATGCAGGAACTTGGCTTTTCAAAAAAACTAGTCCGGTTGATACGGATGTGTATGGAACGGTCACGATGTAAGGTGAGAGTTGGACAACAATACTCGGAGACATTTGAAATAAACAATGGACTAAAACAGGGAGATGCACTTTCGCCACAACTCTTCAACTTAGCTCTGGAGCACATAATCAGAAGTGCAAGAATCGAAAAACCGAATACAGTATTTCATCGAGAAGGACCAAACTTACTACTGGCATTTGCAGACGATATAGATCTAATAGGAAACACGCGATTAAGGCTGAAGGAGACTTTCGTAAGGTTTGAGAAGGAAGCAGAGAAGATGGGGCTCCAAATCAACGAAAACAAGACGAAATATATGTATATGAGCCGCAATAACCAAAGCAGAGACAGAATCGGTCAGAACATTACCATCGATGACTTTAACTTTGAGCGCGTTTTCTTGAGCGCGTTGAGTATCTTGGAACAACAATAACTGAAGACAATAACGGATCACAAGAAATAAACAACATGATTCAGGCCGGCAACAGATGTATTTTTGCCCTCCAAAACCTTAGAAAATCAAAACAACTAACACGACATACGAAGATACAGGTCTATAAAACAATCATACGACCCGTTGTGATGTATGGAAGCGAAACGTGGACGATAACAAAGGCA